TTTGTGCTTTTGAGGTCTTATTCATAAAGTCTTTGCCCAGTCCTACTTTCTGGAGTGTTTCCCCTATGTTTTTCTTTAGTAATTTTATGGGTTGGGGTCTTATATTTAAGTCTTTAACCAGTTTTGAGTTGATTTTGATGTATGGTAAGAGGTGCAGGTCCACTTTTATTCTTCTGCATATAGAAGTACAGTTTTCCTAGCACCATTTACTGAAGAGTCAATCTTTTCCCTGATGTATGTTCTTGTTGTCTTTGTCAAAGATCAGTTGACTGTAAGTATGTGAGTTGATTCCCATGTTTTCTATTCTGTTCCATTGATTCAGTGTCTGTTTTTATGCTAGTACCATGCTGTTTTGGTTACAACAACTTTGTAATATAATTTGATGTCAGGTAGCTTTATACCTCCAGCTTTATTAGGTGTTGGCCTATCAGTTCTATGAGGTTAAAATTACTAGCATATTAATGGGTAGGATTGATATACAAGTAAAATAAGCCACATACATTTACCCCAAGATTTTCTTTTCACATTTTAATAGTACAATCTATGAGGACATTTCTCAAGAAATTCAGGTTTTTTGATTTCCTAGGTGTGATTATTGTTGCTTCACAATTGCCTATAAAAAAATTAGTAATCTTTGTTAAAGCTGAAGTCAAATGTCAATTAAAAATAAACCAAACCAAACCAAACCAAACCAAAATCTGGCATCATGATATAGGGTTTACCAAATAATTACATTTATTTTAATTAGTTGATACTTGGTTTTGAGTGCTCAGGGCTGCCTTCACTCCATTTTTTTTTTTTTTTTTTTTTTTGTAGTTAACAGTATTGCTTTTCCTTCTTTGGTACTGTTCATACTCAGTGAAATTGTAACAACTAAATACCTTGAAATAGCATGAGAATCAAAGTGGTGGAGCATGATGCTACAAGGATTAAAATGACTGCCCTCTCAGTAAATACACACTTTCATCATAGAACACTATAGTCTTCATATTTTAACAAAGACTTTAAAAAATAAATAAAATTTCTAACTTCTGTAGCTAGAAGCCTCTTCTGTCACCTTTACCTGGATAACACATGGTCATCCTTCATACCTTAGAAATTTCTCTGTCAATAAGATCTGTTGTCCTCAGTGTGGCCGTATACCCCCCTAGCTAGATCCTCTCACATCAAGTCCACACACCCTCAGGACAGCTTGTGTATTATGTCTGCCCATCTTTTTTACACTTTCTGTGGCTGTGTCTTATTCTTTATTTAATCTCCAACCCCGAGAACATTGCCATCGTTAAATTACTGTCAAATAAATGAAAGTAACATGGAAGATAATCTATTTGAAGTAACGTAAAGGACATCCCTGTCAAACAGTGAAATTATTTTATTTCTATTTATTTCAACATATTCAATGAATGACTAATATGTTCTAGACACTGGGCAGAAACAAAAATATAGCTATATATTGATCTGGTGGTAGCTGTAGAGAGATCTTCCTAGGTATTGTGTGCATAACTAAAAATCAGGACTACATTAAGGATACGAGAAAAAAAAAACTCACATACAAAAAATATGGCACAATATTATCATAGAATAACTAATTCTTACATTTGAAATAGAGCTCAGAATACATTTAGCTCAAATTCCACCTAATGCAGTTTTCCCTTCCACACATTTTGGCATATTGAGATTTGGATTAAATAGTATAAGTGGAATCATGTGAATATTCTACATTTGTGATTAGCTTATAATGGATCTAAGACTTTAAATGTTTTGAAAATGAATTAACTGAGGCTCAGAAAGTGATACAAGTAAAAAACTGTTGCTGTCTACTTGCTTCAGATCAGGAAGCCACGTTGTCCACATTTATCCAGCTGGGGAAGGTATAGTATTAGACCGTCCTGCTAATTCTTCTTTCCATCAGGCACGGAACTGAAATAAATGTCTTTGAAACACAGCTTCTGTTTTCTTTAAGTTTTATTTATTGTTTTCTTTATTACCAAATCCTTAGAGAACTGAAATGACCATGTGTCAGAGAAGAGTTGATGTTGGAAATCTTTATTTTGAAACATGCTGTAAAACTTTACCTGTGATTTCTAGAGTATACAGATTCCCCTTGATTGACTATAAAGAGTACTTATTTGCCAGGCTTCCAAAAAAGCGTGCAACCTCAACCTAAGTGACTCCTTAAAAACTCAGCTGCAAAAAATATTTATTTAGGCTTAAAAGTGAGTCTAACCAGTCTTGTTTGTCCAAATTAAGAATGAGTCCTGAGGAGATCACCTAAAATAACAGGAACTTTTTGTCAAAATACACTCTTCAGCATCCATGTTGCTGTGGATCCCAAATCCTCCCCTCATGGAATTGTTAGAGGCTTTAAAGAAATCCCAAAAGTGCTTGGCATGATCTAGGATCACAATCAGGAGCTATGTGACCCACATTCTCTTTGAGGATTTGATTGTATTATTTCAGTGCGTGTTTCTAGAAATTAGATATTTTATCTACCACCTCAAAAGTAGCTGGGATCTCTTGTGCCATCTGGTGTGTGAATCCTTAGTCTTTGTCTCTGGGATTGGAATCATGGCTCCATCTTCCTACATGACAGAGCACATTGTGCACACAGCAGTGTCTGGGAATGGGGGAACCTCTTTGGAACCAATGTCCTCTGTGTCCTGTAATAACACAACTTCAGAGGGTCTCTCTTCAATACGTGCAGAATAGTCAACTTCATTCAAGTTCTCTGCTGGTATTGAGCCTGGATATGTAGAAGGTGCCATGGACAGATCACCAGAATTGACTTAACTGAGCTGGCTGACTGGAAAACCTGCCAATGCAATGGCATCAGCCAAATCTAGCACAGCTTTTTTGATCTGGCCTCATTATGCGTTGTGGCAAAGATAGGATTCTGTCTTCTAGCTCCTTCCTCTGCAATATTACCTTGCTGGTAATAAGTTTGGTTCAAAAACTAAGAGAACACAATGTTTCCTAAATATTGTCTTAAGTTGAAATGTGGATTATTATTTCAAATTCTTCTAGAATGGTGAAGTTAACCCCAGCTGGAATATGACAATGATTTGATGATTTTCTTGACTCTGGGCATCCTGTAACTTGTGTAGAACATCAAAGGCTGTGTCCTTTGTTGGGGAAATGAATGGCAGGGACAGTCTACACCTAGATACTAGGCATCTACTCCAGTCTGTGCAGCTACTTCCCTGTGATAAGTTTTGATCTCTGGATAGATAATTTAGTAAATGGTTTTCCTCTTCTTGTCAATCCAGAACCCCTGTGTTACACAGATCCTTTTAATGTGAGTTATTCTTAATGCCTCATATTTTATTGATTTCATAAGGTATTTTGTCAATATATGTGAGAAACGAAGATATAGAAAAGGAGAAATCGGAGGGAGGGAAAGAAGGAGGGAAGGAAAAAGAAGAGAGGTACGGAGAAAGGGGAAAGGAACTGGAGGGAAAGAAGTAAAATGAAATGGGAAATGGGAGAGGATATTGAAGCATAGTGGAGAGAAGCCGAATCCTGCCCTGCCTCGCTGTCTCTGCCCCACACAGCGTGCTTCTGCTTCCTGCCACGACTCATGGAGAGCCGAAATTCACTTTAATGTCCTTCTCCATTTGGTAACTCTCTGTTATTAAAGCTTAATCGATACCATATTTGGCAATTGTCTTCTTGTGTTTCAGATTCCTCCACATCAATACTTTTTACCTTCCCTAAGTATTCATGTCCATCCTGATTCTGTCCTCGGGCCTCTTCTTTTCTTACTGTGTTTACTTTCCCTGGGAAGCTCAGCCACCCTTTGGTTTCAACTACCATTTGGACTCTTGTTTCTGCTTAATCCACTCTCTCTTCAGCACACCTCTCCCCTAAACTCTAGATTTCTATTTTCAGATGATTACAGGCCATCTTCACCTATGCATTGGTTCACCCATAACTCAGACTCACATATTTGAAAATCACCTTATTTCCTGATCTCTGTCTTTTCCATATGAAATTTCACAAGGAGTTTAATAATCCCGTTTCTGAGACTGGAAATTCTCATCCTTCTCTTATTACTCATAATCAACAGGTTACCAAGCCCTGTTCATATTAATACCAAATTTCTCTTCCTTCCTTCTATCTTTTATTTGGAAATAGAATAAGGTGGCAAATAATGTAAAATACCAGTAAGATAAATAAACATGGAAGCCATAATTAAGGAAATACCAATAAGCAATTTCATATTAGAAATGTTACATTTTTTTTTATGGCTGAGCAGTATTCCATAGTGTAAATATACCACAATTTCCTTATCTAGTCCTCCGTTGACGGACATTTAGCTTGGTTCCTTATCTGCGATGAACATGAGTGCAGGTATCACATTGACATGATGATTTCCATCCCTTTGGGTATATACCCAGAATTGGGATTGCTGATAGTATGGTAGCCATGCACAGAGGGAAAAATACTGCATGCCCTCATTCATAAGTGGGAGCTAAGATAGAAAGATGGAAGGAAAGAAAGACCACAGTGTTGCATCAGACTTGCAGAGGGAGAGAACGTACCTAGGGTTGCTGAGGGTGTGGAAGGGGAAAGGAGGCAGAAGGAGGATGGGAAGAGGCTGTGTGGGGTACAGGGAAAAATTTCAATTTGTGGTAATGGGCATGCTGATAGTCTTGATCTGATCATCACATCTTGGGCACAGGTGGTGACAGTCAGCTTTGTACCCCGTGAAAATCCATAATCAATAATAATTTTTTTAAAAAGAAATATATTTTAATCACAGTTGTTGAGAAAAATAATATGAAAAAGAAAAACTATACTATAGTATAAAAGGAAAACTATATAAAATGAAAGTATACATATGTATGCATATATATAGAGATAAATGGTAGAAATGCCAATAAGTAATATATTCAGTGCTGTTATTGACTTTATAATAAAGGTAAACAAATTATGAACATAGTACTTTTATAAATGACAAGTTTTCTAAAATTTTTGTTATTGGTTTTACTTGGTTTTAGCTGGCCACTGCGGTTCCCCAGACCCAATCGTGAATGGTCATATTAGCGGAGATGGCTTCAGCTACAGAGACACGGTGGTTTATCAGTGTAATCCTGGTTTCCGGCTTGTGGGGACTTCCGTTAGGATATGCTTGCAGGACCACAGATGGTCTGGACAAACCCCTGTCTGTGTCCGTAAGTACACTGTTCATGAAACAATTCATCAGACGCTTCTTTTTGTTACATTTCCTTTTGTTTTGAATCCATAATACAAACATGTTTAATCATCAGAGTAAAACAGACTAGAGAACTCTAAATTTTACCTGTCCAAAGGAAGAGAATACGAGCACTATCACATTCACTCTGTTCCTTTTTTGATCATCTTCTCATCCTGTTTCCTTCTAATGCCTCCTCCAAGGCTCCTGTCCACATTTAGTTTGCCCATTAATTCATTTTAAATGGATCCCAGGAAAAGTGATATCATGTATGCATTTTCCTTGATTTTATCACAGGATGTACTAGGTGGAAACAAAGGCTAATTATATATAGGAGGTTAAAGATGCTGAGTCTGAGTCTGCAGGTTAGCTTTGCAGGTTCCTAAAAATAGCCATACTCCCTTCATCTTCTGTTTTGTTTGCATTTTTGAATTTTTGTCATTGTTTCATCAAGAATACAGAGTTTGTAAACAGTCCTTCCTTTAACAGAAAGAGGCGAAATTATATGTAACATTTATCCTCAAACTCTGTAACTTCAAAGGTAAATATTGACTATTATTTTTAGAATAAATGTACCCCCTTTTGAAAAATTTCTTTAAAAACAATTGTTTGTGGGGCCGGCCCAGTGGTGCACTGCGCTAGTGCGCCGCTTGGGAAGCGCAGCTGCGCTCCCACTGAGGGTTCGGATCCCACATACAGACCGGTTCCCGCTCACTGGCTGAGCGAGGTGCGGGGGCAACACCGAGGGTTGCGATCCCGTTGCCGGTCCCGGTCCGGTATGGGGGCGACACTGAGGGTTGCGATCCATTGCCGGACATAAAAAAAAAAAAAATTAAATAAAAAAATAAAAAATAAAAATAAAAACAA